ACGCGCTGCTCTCCCCCCCCCCCCCCCCGCAGGGGCAGGGGAGCCCTCATCTCCTGTTTCCTGCTGCTGCTCTTAAATCTGGTAGAATAAAAAGAATGTTTAAAAAAAACCACTGTCAGCAACATGTGACATCACTTTTGGGTGAAAACCAGGAAGTGACATCAGTCTGCTCTAAGAATCTGTGGAAACTCTGTGCTAAACCACAGAGTTTTAGCATAGAATCTCTGGCAGTTCCTAGGGAGGTGTGACATTACTTCCAGGTTTTCCCAGAAGAGAGGCCATGTCACCTCCTCTCCCCCATGCCGGTATCCACCGATTTCCCCCTCTTGACTGTTTTAAAACTTATTGGTACACGTTTGGATGTATGGTTTAAGTGCATATTTAGTTTCCTTTAATGTTGTAGATGTTCTGAAATGTGTGCCCTCTCTTTCTCTCTGCTGAAAGCCAAAATAGCTTTCAAACCTCACTTGAAGCATAAACGCACCAGGTGGTGTTAGACAAGCTAATTTCCCCCCCCCCTCCTCTCCCTGCCCTCCAATACACAATTTAGGGTTAAATAATACTGTCCTTCCTTGTGATCTGGATAATTGTTTTTTTTTTTTTTCAAATGTTCAAAGCAACTACAGAAGGGCCTCAAATGGGGACTGGTGGTACAGTGCAGGGGAGGGAGGTATTGAACACTTTTCTGCCCATGCATTCCCCCCCCCCCCCCCCCCCCCCCCCCACCTAACTCCCACCACACGTTGTAATTCCCTCAAGATGTTACATCTGGACCTGGTGCTTATAGATTTCCCCAGCAGCTGGGGGAATTACCAGTGGAAAAATGGCAAACAGCGTGAAAGAAAGGGCTAGCCCAAACTGATTCTTAACCTTCCATGTTTGTTCTTAACTAAAAATTGGGTCCACGGGCAGATTATTTATGGATCTCTTTGTGTCTCATCCAGGGCTATTTTTGGGCAGGAACGCACAGGAACGGAGTTCCGGCTGGCTCCCGAGTTGGCCACGCCCAGCAGGAACTCATTAGCATAATAGGTCACGCTCAACAGCAGGAACTCATTAGGATTGGCTACATTAGGGGTGTGTGGCCTAACATGCAAAGGAGTTCCTGCTGCAAAAAAAAGGCCCTGGGTTTTGACAACAAACAAGGTAAACAGAATAAGAAGCAAAAGGTGGGTGTGGCTGGATGACCACACTTCTGGTAACAAGGGGGTGTGGCCTAATATGCGAATGAGCTTTTGCTGTTAGGTGTGGCCTGCTATGCTAATGAGTTCCTGCTGGGCTTTTTCTACAAAAAAAGCCCTGGTCTCTTCTAGTATGACCCTTCCTGAGAGAATGCAGGACAAGCTGCAATGAAAAAAGCCAACGGGGCATGGTGGTTAGAGTGGTGGACTAGGATTGGGGAGACCCAGGTTCAAATCCCTACCCTGCCATGGAAACTTGGGGGGTGACCTAGAGCCAGTCACTCTCAGCTTAAACCCACCTCACTGCATGCTGGTTGTGGGGATAAAATGGAGGAGGGGAGGGCAATGTTGTAAACTGCCTTGGCTCCCCAACAGGGAGAAAAGTGGGGTATAAATATAGAGAACTATGTAGAAGCAAGAGACTTTTTATATATATAAAAAGAGGTGCAATAATTGGCTATATTGCGGATGTGCCCTTAAGCCAAACAACAAAGGGCACATGTCTGGTGTGGTAATCTGAATCTAAAAAGTCAGCAATTCCAGATTGAGGAGTGTAAGACTGAGGGGGAGGGACATGGGGGGTGGCCAGCAGCAATTGCTTGACCGCTTCTGGGAAAAACTAATGTCACACCTCTCTAGGAATCACTGGAAATTGTATAGTAAAGCCATGGAGTTTCCAGTACATTCCAGAGAGGACTGACATCACTTCCGGGTGTTCCCTGGAAGTGACATCACACTGCCATCTTGAATGCCATTTTAATTTTTCTTTTCTCCCACTGGTCTTCCAAGCAGTGGCAGGAAGCAGGGGCCAGGGGCAGGAAATACTCTGGCAGCCCTGAGGAGGAGAGAGAATCCGGATTGGGGCTGTGCCGCTGGTTTTAACTCCTCTTCTCCCATGGCTGCCACAGTCTCTATGACCAGAAATGAACCGTTAGGCTGCTTTAAGCCCTCCTAGGGACAAAAGATACACAACTCTCCCCCTCCAACAGGGCTGAAATCAGTCTACGGGAGCAATTTTTCTATTGCAGAAATAGGTGCAGCGTGTGGTCTTTACTCCCTGTTCCCCAGCACCATGTCCCTGACAGAGATCTCCCTCCACTCCACCCACACTGTTATTTCTGAAAGGCCAGGATTCACATTGGAAGTTGAAATGATGGACAATCCAGCATCCTGTGTAGTTTTGCTTTCAAAGATATCTTTTCTGGCTGTATTTGTTATCTCCTTTAGTGATATCTGTATCCAGACATTATTAATCTTCTGCCCTCGTTCCTCCCCTCCCCCTTGCGTCCCAGTGCTTAAATGTGGAAGTATCTCACCTTCATTTCTTTTCCTTTCTCATAAACGTCTTTCTTTAACAAACTGCCAAGTGAAATCACACCAGCAGACCAGGGCTGGTCCAAAAGAGTGTGATACCTGGGGCAGAAAACCTGAAGAGCTCATACATTCACAGTAGGTGCCCCAACCACAGGCGCTTCCTTCCTTGGTGCTCAGCTCAGTTAAGTTTCATTCCGATTTTCAGCCCAGTTAATAACTTCCCCTCTTTGTTTGTTCCCTTCTCCTTCAGTTTTCTTCTGCTTCCCATTTCCCTGTCTTCTTAGAAGTCCAGACTGGAATTCCTCCTGTCCCCCCCGTCCTTCTTTCCTTTCTCCACCCTACCTTTCATTCCTTTACTCGATCTCTCTTTCAGCTCTCTATGGAAGACACAACCTCCATCCTTCCCAAGTTGAAGCGAAACTCCAACGCATATGGGATTGGAGCCCTTGCTAAGTCCTCTTTCTCTGGTGAGGGTCCTTTTACTGAACTCTTTATTTCTTGATAAGCTTGTGTTTGTGTCTTAGCTTCTGCCCCTCACTTTAGACCTTACCTAAAATGCCTTGTTTTCTAAAGTTTGTTAACCTGAGGTGACTTCATTACCCATAAAAATTCCAGGCTCGGGTGATACTTGTAATTTAGCCCGGGCTCTTTTTGTAGCAGGAACTCCTTTGCATATTAGGCCACACACCCCTAATGTAGCCAATCCTCCAAGAGCTTACAGAGCTCTTCTTACAGGGGCTACTGTAAGCTCTTGGATGATTGGCTACATTAGGGGTGTGTCACTTAATATGCAAATGAGTTCCTGCTACAAAAAGAGCCCTATAACCCCTAAACCTCAAGATAACGTTTCACGTGAGTATGTTATAACGTGTGAATAGCAGAGCAAGTGTTTTCTGTCCAGGCGCACACACTGTAAGCCAAAAACGAACTCAAATTGCTTTTCCTATGTTAATGAATACTTATTTCTTCCAACACTGAGATTACTTTTTCTGATCCTGAGAGGGAAAAGTTGTAGGGCCTTCACTTATCTCAAGTGCTGGCCTGTAGAGGACTGTTCTTGTCAGACTTTCTCCTCCATCTCTCAAAATGCACTTTCCCCAAAGTACTGGGCAGCCTTGACCCTTTATTTCTATCCAATGTTTCACAAAGTTTAATTCTAACCTGGGTAGAGCCGGGTAAGGAAACTCCATTTTGAGAGATGGAGCAGGAAGACTGACAAGATGAGTACTCAGGGCAGCAGCAGGAGAAAAATACACCCCCCTCTGACAGTTGGCTGTGGGGTCAGATTACTTCCAGTAAAAACCCAGGTGACAAAGGGTAGCTCTAGGAATTTCTGGTGGTTTCTGGAGCTACCTAAGTCACTTCCGGGTTTTTTTTACTGGGAGTTACGTGACCTCACAGCGAGCATAGTGGGGGGGGGGGCATCTCCCTGCCCACAGCCCTCTTGCCGGTTGCCTGGCAACCCTAAACTTGGGAGATGGAGGAATTGTACCAGAGGGGAATTCATAGCGAAGGAAATTTCTGCAAATGTCCCAGAGGCTTTCAAAGAAGGGGAATGAACTGTCAATGAGTTGGCAGTTTTCAGGGTTTTAACCTCCGGTCTTCAAGGGGGAGGCGTTATATCTTGGTATGAAAAGCCAGAAGCAAGAGGACAAGCTATTTTCTTCCGTTTCCGTTATAAATCTTAAAGCAATGCAAACTTCCCTCAGCACGTCCTCCCAGTCTTGATCCTTCTGTGGTAGAGAATGACTGCGTTTGAAAGGAAATGGAAAAGAGAAAAATAGTCTCAGTCTCTTTAAAAAAGAGATTGGCCTTTCAGCTCCACCTGTGGATGTGAGACAGCCTTCACCTGAGTCTCAGGGGACCTGGCAACTTTACCAGTAAGGTCACAAAACGGAGGCCTCCTATGTAAACTCTGGGATTCAAAAACCTCCAGCAAAGTATGACCCTTCATTTTATTAGTGACCCGATACGTTACCATGCATTAAAGCTGGTTGAGAACACATTTAGCTTTTTAAACACGATGAACGCATACTAAACCGGCTGATCGTCTGCATAGACTATTCATATTTTCTGAGCACTTTTTTTTTTGGTAATAAGAAACAAATCTATTCTGGAGAATGTTTCTAAAAATTCTTTGGGAAAACGGTATTTTTCAAATCACTGCTACCTTGACAGAATATATGGCCAGACTTTGTCCAGTTTGGTGTAGTGGTTAAGTGTGCGGACTCTAATCTGGGAGAACCGGGTTTGATTCCCCACTCCTCCACTTGCACGTGCTGATGTGACCTTGGGTCAGTCACAAGCTCTGGCACAGCTGTCCTTGAAAAAGAGCAGTTTCTGTCAAGAGTTCTCTCAGCCCCACCCACCTCACAGGGTGTCTGTTGTGGGGAGGGGAAGGGAAAGGAGTTTGTAAGCCGCTCTGAGGCTCCAAGTGAAGGGCGGGGTATAAATCCAATCTCTTCTCTTCTCTTCTTCTTATAATCAGAAAATTCAGTTATGAATAAAATGTGTCCATAAATATGTGTCTGGGAGGAGGGAGGTTTTGAGGATAGCCAAGATCAAAATGAAAATGCAATTTGCATAGAAGTGTCGTGAAAGAAGTGGGGGGGAGACAAGGTGAAAGTAGACTTATCCCGGGATGAAACCGCAAATGTCTCTGGAGCAGTATAATAGCCCCTTCTTGTTTCGTAATATCTGGCGCCTTAGGGATGTCTCGCAGCATGAAGGACCACGTCACCAAACCCACCGCCATGGGGCAAGGTCGCGTGGCTCACATGATCGAGTGGCAGGGCTGGGGCCAAGGCAACACCCAGCAGCAGCACCACACCCACGAAACCATCCGCAAGGATGCCGATGCCTACTCTGACCTGAGTGATGGTGAGAAGGAGGCCCGATTCCTTGCAGGTACGCAGCCACTCATTTACTACCCATCGGTGTTTGGTTAGGGGGGCACATGGATCATCTGAAGTGCCAACTTGTAAATGTACTGTCCTGTGCTCTGAGCTGCATATAGAGTTGCCAGGAACATGCCTGCAATCCCTAGGAGATGTTGAGGAGGGTGAGGCATGGAGAAGAACAATGCCATGTATGCAGGGGTCATTTCGTAGAAAAAAGAGGTGCAGGAGCTCATTAGCATAACTCATTAGCATTGCTCATTTGCATATGCCACACCCTGACATCACCGGAAGTGTGTCAAAAGGCAACACCCACCACTAGACTGTTTTGGATTGCTAGCTATTGGGGGGGTGGGAACATGCAGATCTGTCCTCGCAGAGGAGGGAGAGCTTGTACCTGAATAAAACTTGGTCTTAAAGGTGCCACTGGACTGTTTTGGGCCGGGGGGGCTCTGCAACTTACCTGGCTGCTTCTTGCTCTAACTGAGGGCTGCTGGGAGCAGGGGGTGGGGCTTGTTGCATGTGCCCGCCCCCTGGGCTCTTTACTGCCTTAGCTCCGCTCCTGTGCGCTCCTGCAGGAAATGACCCCTGCATGTATGTGTTGATATAACTTCTGGCTGAAACCCAAAAGTGGTATCATCAACTGTCTTGGATTCTGCTGATCTCTGTGGTTTTACCATAGACCAGCAAAATCCTAGATTGTAATGACAGTCTGGTTTTAGAATCATAGAGTTGGAAGGTCCCTCCAGGGTCATCAAGTCCAACTCCCTGTACAATGCAGGAAGTTCACAAATGCCTCTCCCCCCAGAGAGACCAGTGAAAATCCTAGGACATCAGTGACATAACTTCTGGGTTTTAGCCAGAAGTGAGGTTGACAAGTATAGTGTCTTTTCCCCCCTGTTTCCCAACCCCCTGCCTCTCATTTGAGCAGTGACGGAGGCTGATAGGCAATGGCAGGTGATCGCCCAATGTAGTGGGTGAGTTGGCAGGACTAATTGCACATGTGGATTTGGGTGTTGGGGGAGAAGCTTGAGCTGAATGACTTTTTAAAATCCTCTCTAGCTTTTTGATGCCAACACAGAACAGAAATGATTTTGAGAGGGGATAGACTTGGAGCGCACCCTCAAGATTGCTCAGTGTGGATTACTCCTTAATGCCTTTTGGCAATTGTGCTGTCAGGGCATCAATATGTAATAAGAAACTCAGTGCTGTTGCCAAAGCCAGCAGCCCCATGTCATGTTCCCTTTTTGCCTCCATAATGTGCCGTACAACTTAACTCGGGTTCTGATAACCGTGACACTGCATTCTCCTCCCCCCCCCCCAGTCACCCACCTGCTCTACAATGCTGTCTGGCTCTACAGTGGCAGGAAAATGCTCAATAAAACTATAAAGGTAAAGGTTCCCTTGCTCGAAAGCCAGTCGAATCCGACTCTAGGGTTGCGGTGCTCATCTCCGTTTCCAAGCCGAAGAGCCAGCGCTGTCCGAAGACATTTCCATGGTCATGTGGCCGGCATGACTAAACACCAAGGCGCACGGAACTCTGTTCCCTTCCCACCGAAGTGGTACCTATTTATCTACTTGCAGTTTCTTGCTTTCGAACTGCTAGGTTGGCAGGAGCTGGAACTAGAGACGGGAGCTCACTCCGTCATGCAGCACACTCGGGTCTCGAACTGCTGAACTACCGACCTTCCACAGCCTGCAGTTCAGCGTCTTCACCACTTGAGCCACCGCAGCTCCGACTATAGGAATGCATAAATTTTACCATATTTCAAGGAAGGGGAAGGGAGGGACTTCAACACCAGTCTTTTGTTTAGGCAGGAGCTCCATGTTTCTGATTAACCTGTAGTTTCACCCTTAAACAAAGTGCTTAAAAACGGTCGAAAGTTTTATATTTGTCTCTCTACCTCTCGAATGCTTGTTTATAGGAGAAATAGGAATTATAATGGCATGAGTGATTTCTGGTATGGAATCAGGACGTGGCAGCTGTTCTGGATCAGGGAACTGAATACCTGGATGAGATCTGGCAACTGATCCCCGTGAGGAGGACAGAGCCCGGTGCAGAGCTCTGCATAGGCAGCACAGATCCTCAGTGTGGCACCCACGGATACCATGGTGCTAAGGTTGCCGACCTCTAGGTGGCACCTGGAGATCTCCCACTATGACAGTTGGTCTCCAGACAACCAAGATCAGTTCCCCTGGAGAAAATGGCTGCTTCAGAGGGTGGACTCTACAGCTGAGGCCCCTCCCCTCCCCTCCCCAAACCCCACCCTTCCCAGACTCCACTTCCAAAATCTCTAGGTATTTCCTAACCCAAAACTGGCAACTCTACATAGTGCCCACCAACGTGTTTCCAGTGTCTATTTGCCAACATTTTGTGGAGCCTTCCAACGTTTTGGTCAATCACCCATTCCTCATGGCAGCCATTTTCTAGTGGGGCCTAGTAGTCTTTCACAAAGTGCCCACAGGCTCTACAGATGTGGGGATCCACGTACAGGTTAAGCAAATACCTAAGGGGAATGTGCAGGTTAAGCAAATACCTAAGGGGGTCCAAAACAGGCCTTTCCTCCTTGCTTTTCTGATGGTTGGTTGGCTGGCCTCCTAAATGGTGGGGCTGTAATTAAAAATAATTGATTTATTGAAGCTTTTGAAGCCGATAAACCCTTAATCCAAATCAAAAATATGCTCTCCTGTCCCCCACAAAGATACTTTTCAAATGACTTCCTCTCATTCATATGCAAAGATAGGCATTCCCCCCACCTAATGGGGAGCAAATGCATGTACCGCACGTGAAGTAGATGAATCCTGAGATCGGTGAGGTCTCCTTTCCGTAGCAAAGCATGAAGATAATTGCTGGAGCTTAGGCCGGCATGGAAATCACAGCTTGCATCCCTGACTCCATTGTGAGAGGTCTTTTCCTTTGCAGTGTTTCACCCATCCTACCCAGGCATTCAGCTTTTGGGGGTCACAGACGATTTTCTTAGTGCACTCAGTGTCATCTCCGATGTCATCATTTGCAAAACTGCTGCAGGATTTGTTGCACCCACTGCACGATGGATGCTTTCCGTCAGTGCACCGGTATTTGCTGCTTATCTGAAAAAATCCCACAGACTTGGCTGCCTTCTGAATTTGGGGTTCGCACAGCAGCCTTGTATCTGCTCTCATGATACACCGTGCAGATCCAGTGCCCCAGTTGTTGTTTTTGACAACCTTAGTCTGGCTTAATTCATGTGGAGATCCAGAACGTAATATGTATGGGACCACAGAATGGGTAGTTCTTAACTGAAGAGCGATCTGCCTTACAGAGTCTGGGCCACTGCTGACTGGTAGAGAGGCACAGGAGGCTGGGATACGCTACAGAGCTTGACCCACTATTGAAGACCCCAGTCGTAGCTCCTCCGGGAGGCATGGCCCGGGTTACTGACACACCAAAGGACCAGCAGCTGAAGGAGCCGGGAAGAGGTGAGGAGCTAGGTCCTCCCTCACTGTCCATCTGTCCCTCTCTGATTGTTTGTAATGCAGGGGTGATGCAGCAATTTGCTATCTCAGAAGCCACCCTCATGGCTTGGTCTTCCATGGACGGTGAGGACGTCAGTGTCAACTCCACTCAGGAGAACCAGGCTGGCAACTACAGAGAGAACTACCAAGAGATGATGGAGAACCAAGGTGAGTGTTGACCTTCGGGCTTCTAGGCCGAGAAGGGGGTGAAGATGGGCTTAGGTTTATAGGTAGTCCCTGATCAGCCTCTTGGTTTTCTCAGGCGTAGCGAAAGGCGGCGTTCCACCCTCAGTAGGTCCATGAGGTGATGGGCGTCCGTCGCTTCCCCAACTTGCTTGTGGCTGAGAGGGAAGTGAGCCCTAGAGGCTTTGCCACCATTACTGGAACTCACCTTTCTGGGGATGGAGGTATGGGTTGGGTGGGTAGCTCCCTTTCCTCTGAAGTGGTGTCAGTCAGTTAAGCAGCTTGGCCCCTGTTATCTCCCCAAACTGTGCTATGGAGCTAACCCCTGGAGGTGATGGTGGAGCATGTTGGGGAAGACAAGGGACTATACAACTCAACCTATACAACTGCGGCCCCGGGCTTGGTAGGAAGGCAGGTTTGGTACTGCTGGATCTCACCAGCTTCCTGAGAGGCCGTATGAAAAGGGCTTTGAAGAACACTTTCAGGCACTATATAAATGCTAGGTGTTAGAATTCGTTTAATCCCTCTCTGTCCCGAAACCTGATTGGGTCTTAGAGCTGTCACAAAAGGGATTTTGGGCCCAGTTCTCCCCGAGAAGCTGCACCTGTAAGCTGTACTACTTCAGGATGCTAGTCACGTGGTCAGGCATTAGACCAGACTGAACTCTTTCTGCATAGAAAACTGCTTCTTGGAGAGAAGGGTTCCAAGCCCAACATTACACCTGGCATGCCAGTTTTGTATGTGCTGGGAATCCTTTTGTTTGGAGGAGGCTGTTATCATGTGTGTTACCTCCCCATTTATGTACTACTGATGGGGAAGAGGCAGGTTTAATTCCTCATTGAGAACTAGGGCTTGGTGAGCACCCATTGACGCCATTGTGAGCCGGTTTAGTGAAGTGGTTGGAACATCAGAGTAAGGAGACTTGGGTTCAAATCCTCACTATGCCATGGAACTTGCTGGGTGCCCTTGGGCCAGTCACACACACTCAGCTTTACCTACCTCACAAGATTGTGGTGCGGATAAAATGGGAAGGAAGCACCATGTATGCCATCTTGAGCTCCTTTGAGGATAAATAGCCAGTCGGTTGCAAAAAACTGGCAGCTAAGGGGAGAGATGCTGGCCTCTAGATATATTCCCTCTGGGCCCCCCTCAGACTACCAAACCCAGCCTTAACATCAGTCAAAAATAAACTGTCACCTGTGGTGCAGGGAACCTCCACATTCAGAGGCAGTAAACCTCTGAATCCCAGAGCCAGGAGGCAAGATCAGGGGAAGGCCTTGGCCTCTGTTCCTTGTTCATGGCCCTCCAGATAGTTGGCCACTGTCCGAGACAGGATGCTGGACTAGATAGACCACTGGTCTGATCCAGCAGAGCTCTTCTGATGTTCTTAGAAAGGCCTCAGCCTCTGTGCCCTATTGTTGGCCATCCAGAGGAACTGGTTGGCCACCATCTGAGACAGGATGCTGGACCAGGTGGACCACTGGTTTGATCCAGCAGGGCTCTTTTGATGTTCTTATGAAGGCCTCAGCCACTGTGCCCTATTGTTGGCTGTCCAGAGGAACTGGTTGGCCACTGTCTGAGACAGGATGCTGGACAGGGTTGCCAAGTCTGGCAAACTCACCGGCGGGGGAGGCTTCTCCAGCTCCAAATGCACGTGCGCTAAGCACGTCAACGGAAGTGACGTGCGACGTCACTCACGTTGGGGGCGTGGCCCAGATCGTTCCCGATTCCGCTGCGGCAGAAATCGGGCCTTCAAAGCGGGGGTTTCCCCGCCCCCCCCCGCCCACACTTGGCAGCCCTAATGGCTGGACCAGGTGGACCACTGGTCTGATCCAGCAGGGCTGCTCTTCTTATTTTCTTAAATCACATGACTTTGCCAGCTCCAGGGCTCCCGGAATCCCCCCCCCGTGCTCCCCCTTCTCAGCTCTAGGTGGGCATCCCTGCCTTATGACTGAGGCTTGTCTGCTCTGTTCTTCAATTTCTGACCTCCTCTCTCTCCCCCTTCCTTGTTCTTATTCTCTCTCCTTCTGTCCCTGTCCGAAGATCACCTGAACCAGGCACAGTACGACAGCTGGCCCCATTCCTATGTCTCCCAAGGCATGTATTGTCTGGGCTCCTCCGATGCCTGGGAGACGAATGACCAGTCCCTCATCGCTTCCCCAGCCGCCAGCTCTTACGTTGGCCAGAACTTTGAAGAATCCCAGCCCAACCTTCAGGAGAGCGTTCTGATCCAGAACAACCTTATCCAGCAGCAGCAGTTGCTGCAGCACCACCAGCAGCAGCAGCAGCTACAGCAGCTACAACAGCAGCAGCAGCAGCAGCAGGCGCTGCTCCCAAATACAGGCCTAGTGGATGTTTGGCCTGCTCAGACAGTTCCTAGCAGTGGCGGCGACAGTGCAGAATCCAGTACCTTAGTCGGCGTTCACACGGAGGAGGAAGGGAACCCCTTGCTGGAGAAAGCCCCGCTATTGAACAAGAAGCCCTCGCCAGAGGAGGACGATGTGGTGTGTCGGGACCTGGAATCCCTTTCCCCTCGGGAGGAGCCGGAGCCCGCTGCCCTCAGCCGCAAGGTCTCGGACGTTACGTCGTCTGGGGTGCAGTCTTTCGACGAGGAGGAAGGCGAAGCCAACAATTGACACTGTCACGGAGAACCCCTTTGCCATTATGCATGGGAAACACGGGTGGGGGGGGAGTGATAGGGAAGCCCCTCTCCAGCTCCTCAAATTCCCCAGGCACATGAGCACACTTGGGGGGTTTGTGTTTTTTTTTTTTTCTTTTCCCTTTTTCTTTCACAGAAAGGGTAATCCAAGGACCGAAATTTCGGGGCAACGCCAAACCGCCGTCTCGTCTTGCACAGGTTGGACTGAAGACTTGAGACCTTGGATGGGGTGGGCACAGGAAGCTCAGGGAATGGACATCCTTTGACTTTGGAGGCAGGTTGCGCTGGGAAGCAGGGCTGCTGCACTTGGGATGCAAATTTAGTCTTAATGTGGCAACGGCGAGCACGTTGCTGCAACCTGCATTGGGACCCAAGGCCTTCTGTGGATGGAGGCAGACGTTTTGGGCTGGGAGCGCGGCTTGGCAGTAGTGAGAATGTGTGGCTTTGCGGGCACATGTACGTCCAAAATGGTCGCCCCGAGCCTATTTGCCAAGTCTACTTTTTGGAAGTGAGGCGGTCTTTGAAAGGGAGCTCTGCTCTTAAGGCCCTGCGTACCAGGATGGGGAAGGGAGTGACTTTGGGGATAAGTACACCAGAACGGGAGGTGGATACCAACTGTCTGGCGGCGTGGACTGAGCCACTTGGCGAGTCCGGTTGTAACCTCGCTCTGCAGCATTGATTCTCTGGGGAGATTCCCCGTATGCGCTTTTTAATCATCTCCACCTGCCTGGGAGCTGGAGAGTGGTTTCCCCCCTCCCCTGTTTACTGCTGGGCACTGCATGCAAGACGGGGGTGTCATCTGTCTTTTTAAATATAATTTATCCAGACGTGGAGTCGTCTTTTTCCATCTGCGTGCAGGGAAGACAAGGCAGAGAGGTCCATGGGAGTCAAGCTGGTTTGGTTTCAATGTCAGTTTTCCAGTTTACATTAGGGCATTTGTTGTTGTTTTTTGTACACTTTAAAAATATTTGGCTAAATGATGGCTACCAGAGAGAAAGACCTGGGTTACCACCTGTGGTGAAGTAACACACTTTCCCCCATTGCTGGGTCCTCTGTAGTGCCAAAACATCGATGGCACGGAGACCGAGAAGGGATCGATTTTACTCTATCTTTCCCTTAATTCCACTCTTGTGCTTTCTTTTCCAGTCTTTTTTTAAAATCATCAACATGGTTGACATTATTCCTCAAGCCTTGACTCAATCAGGAACAAGGAAAGGGTCTTTATTTTTTATTAGTTTTTTTTTGGGGGGGGGGGGTTGGTGAACGACAAGGCATTCTTTATGGATTATCTGTTTTGGGCTAAGGTTGTCCCTCCTTCTCAATTGCTGTTTTGCGGGGTTTATAAGCAAGTATTTAAAAAAACAAACAAACAATTTTTTTTATCCTCTCTGGCCTTCTGCAGAGAATAAAAGGGGAGCAAAAAAAATTAGTATGGAACAATTAACATTTGCCGGGGCAACCAAAAAGCACGTGGTCGTTACTGAAACTGCTTACATCCGTAAGGAAACTCTCTCCAAAGGTGACTTTGAGGGCTACCTGGCAAAGAGAATCCTTCTGGAAAACGGCCCTGTCACCACTCCTCCCTGGAAGTGCTTCTCCAAGCATGTTTCTGTTCCCAGGACGCTCCTCGCCCGTGCACTTTTGATGAAGGATCGAGGGAGTTCTTCAACTCATCAGTTTCAGAAGCCAAGTGGGCTCCGTCTTCCCTCTGCTGTCGCACTTTCTTTGGAAACACTGTTGTGACAACGGACAAGTGCTTGGGCAGGAGTGTACCCCAGCAGATGCATGGAATGACAACTTCCTCTTCTCTGTCCCCCATTTCTTTAGCTCTTCCTGTCTCCTCGAGTGGGGAAGCTGCTCAGTTTCTGAGCACCGGGGAGCCAGTTTTTGCTCTCGGTCTCTCTTTTAAAAATATGTTTACATGCTCTGGTGCCAACCTCTGAAGGCAAGGAGGATTGGGCACGGCACTGCTCTGAACATGGGGGAGGTGGGGGTGGCAAAGCCTCATGTTCCCATTGTTTCTCTTCAATTGCTGCGTTCTGGCTGCCCGTCGGCGTGGGGGAATTCTGCCCGCCGTAGCGATGCAGAAACGAAGACAGCGCAGAGGGCTGTCTTCTCTGCCAATGAAAACGAGATGGATTCCGGGTGCCCCAATGATTTCGGAGCCTTCAGGATAACAGGAAAGCGTTGGGATTCTTCCCAATTTGGTCGGGGAGGGGGGAGCTCCAGGCAGCGTGCTGCTTCTTCCCTCCAAACTCTTTTGCTCCATGTGCCTATCCAGGACCAGGACTTAACCCCCTGGATGTTTACGGTAATTATATTTCAGTGTCAATGTATCCTCCCATCATCTAGGCACTCACGGGACTCAAGACAAAAGTGGCTCATCTCGTTTCGCTCTGTTCTTTGAAATGTCTTCTTTTCTTTTTTTTTACGGAAAAAAAATGCAAGCAATGTGTGCATTTGGTTCTATGTGACACAAATGTTTGGGAGATGTATAATTTCTGTGTCCGAGAGACAGTAGAGAAGGATGCATCATATGGGAAATAAGTAAAAAGCAACAGGAGAGAGCTAAACTAATGGAGGGGGGCAGGAAGGGGGGGGGATTGTATCTGGAGATTGGGCTGAGGAATGTCAGCTGAGCTGTAGTCTTATAGTCTGCTTCCGTAAATTCCAAAGAAAGAGACCCTATTCTCTATTCTAAAAATCTTGGGAGAGATTTCTGTAGTAGCTTAATTTCAGGACAATTAAACAACAGCCCCCTTTTCTTTTCAAAAGGGGTTTTGCCTTTTTTTATATATAAATCTTAAATCTTTCTGATTGGCCCTGAATTTAGAGTTAGAGTTTCCCTGTCTTTCTCTGAAAAACTTGATGGGGCGGAGAACAGTTCTCCTCACTTTCTCCCTCACCTCCTCATAGAATAAATCTTAAACCGCGGCTCTCCTGTGAGGCTGCATTCAGTTGTCCCCAAGGTCAAGAGCAAGAGATGTATCAGGTACATGGGAACTTGTTAAGGTAAGCAGAACGACGCTTTGGCTTCTTCCACACAGCGACAATATACTCTAGGTGGCTCTCACTGCTGCAAATGCATTGACAACGGCGTGTTCACGCAGTGGGTTTTGCTTATGTGTTCCTTGCCTGAGGCCTAGGACTAGAGTTAGGCCTTAGGTCTAGGTTTGCCAAGCCGAGCCTGGCAATCAGCGGGAGGGCTGGGGGTATGGGGACATCGAGAGGTACACGTGACATTGCCGACTTTGCTATGTCTTTTCTGGGTAAAGAGAGAAGAAAAATAAAATAAAAACAGTGACGTTGCCTATGTCACTTCCGGTCAAATCCGGAAGTGGCATAGGGTAGCTCTAGGAATTGTTGGAAACTCTGTGGTAAAACAATGACATAGTGATGTTGGTGACATTGCTGTTATTATTTTATTTTTCTCCTGTTGGTGTCAGACCAGTGGGGAACAGGCTTGCTGGTGGGAGCAGGGGGCCTGGGAAGCCTACATAAGCCCCCAGTGGCAGCTATCGTGCTGTAACACTATAATGGTCTATTGGCGTGACCGACTAGCACTTCTGACTCTCCCCCCCGCCTTTCATTTTAAGAAGTCTCTGGCCCATTTCATATCTTCATGACAAAAAGGACTAAAGACCAGAGGTCATTTCGGGGGGAATTGTGGGGGATCGCAGTTCCCCCGGGTGAGGTACGGGGGGTGGGGCACATGACGAAGCCCCGCCCCCTGCTTCCGGCCGCCCCGCTTCCGGCCCTCATTCAGCCAGGAGGAGGCAGGAGAAGAGGGAGGGTAAGTTGCTTCCTCCGTGCCTCTCCCCACCCCTGCCTGCCTGGGGCCAGGGAGGGCCTTCGCGGGACTTCCTTGCACTCCCGCCGGCCTTGCAGGTCCACCGCCGGCCCCTCATGGGGCTCGGCAGTGGAGCTGCAAGGCCGGAGGCGGCTGGGACCGTTGGGGGCGGGGTGTGTGGCCTTATGACACACTTCCGGTGATGTCAGGGGGTGTGGCCTTATGACACACTTCCGGTGATGTCAGGAGGTGTGGCATATGCTAATGAGTTATGCTAATGAGTTCCCCTAGTACTTTTTCTACGAAACGACCCCTGCTAAAGACTTTTTTTTTTTTAATGAAAGCTTGGATTTCAGAGGAACTTAATCAATCATGACAGTAGATCATTATAATATTACTGTAATGATCTAGCAATGGCCTGTTTGTTTTTTTTTAAAAAAGCCCCTCAACTGAAGGATGAAAAATTGTGCCACTGTGGGCAGGAGCTTAAAAAACGCACACCTTCCTGTCCACAGGGTGTGCAAAGGCACTTTGACCGGAATCTTTCCGAAAAGATAGTTTCAGAGGGTAGCTGCATTGGTCGGCAGTAGGACAGATGTTCGCGGTATGAGCTTTCAAGAGTCCAAACTCCCTTTGTCAGATAGTTTCAAACCAGGTTTTGGGGAGACCGAAGTCAAGCAGGGCAAACTCCAGAAAATGGCTTATTAGCATATGGCATCATAGGGTTGATCTCCCCAGGGGGGAAACCCCCACCTGCTCTGGTTTAGATGTCAAATGAGAACAAAACCTGTGTGGAAGCAGCCTTAGTAGTAACAGGTGTCTCTCTCTCTGAATGTATGCCTTTACCGAACAACAGCAGAGCGGGGGGCGGGGGTTGAGTCATTTTCCAGCTGAGCAGCCAGATGTTTGCAGGTGCAGAAATTCCCCCACCACCACCACCTTCCTTCAGGCCATTTTTCTCATGCTGGTCTTGGAGCCGGGGTGGAGTGGGGTGGGGTAGGAAGCCGGAGGCAGGGGCTTGTGGGAAATGGCTCCTGTGCCCTCATTGACCCTTCTCAGCTGGAAATGCCAACCCTGCCCCCTGCACAGCTGTTTGGCAGCCCTCTTAGAAAGGGAGGTGCTCATTGAAACAGAAGGCTTTCCTATCTAGCTCCTCCTCTCAATGATAACCCGAGTGCCACTTCAAACGAAAGCGTTTTTGTACTTGGCTGTGGTCCTCAAATGCAGGATGTATGAGTCACATCTGAACGGGGCACGTGTAAACGTGTGCTCTGGCCACTTGATTTCTTTTAAATACACGCAAGCAATCGAGAAGGGAGGGCTGGGGCCCCAATCCCAGCTGAAAATATACACGTGCCCCGCTCAGATGTGACATAGTCAATGTATTTTGTTCTCTGGTACAACCCTCCCCACCCCCCGATGTTGCTTCTAAAGTCACGTGCAGTGGACTTCTGGCTCTTAGGTGTTGAGCATACCGAGTGATCTTTGGGCTGTGGAGAATTAACCGTCGTTTGCTCATGTGTAAGGCATCATTTCCAAGGTAACTGACGGCTTATGCATGTAACACTGTGCTGACTATGCTTCCACTGCATGTCGAGGGCTATCCTTGAAACCGTTAAAAAAAATATCCAGGTATTTTTTTTGGATTTAAGAAGAAATAAAGCAGAATTTGGCTCACTCCCAAGGACCCTGGATTTTTCCCAATATCCCTGGTTTTTCGGTTTCGTTGGCCTATTGTTCGAGCTGCTGCAATTTCTTGGCCGCTGCCTGCGAATTGCGGCGGCGGCGGCACCGGCAGGCATGAAAAAGGAACAGGAGTACAAGATGGTAATTCACCCTGATGCAATGGCTTCATTGGCTAGCTTCATGCCAATTATGGTGTGTGTGTGTTTAAAAAAAAAAACATTTGAGTCATAAAAGTCAAAATGCCCCAAAGGGCTTCCCTACGTGTCTCTCCA